AAATGCCCTGAGCTAACAAACAAAAAAACTGATTCTTGAATCTAAAACTAAGCTGTTAACCTTAATCTCAGTGTTTCCTTAATAAAAATGTCCCCACCTTGGGAAGTTTTAAGAATAAAGAAGGATCCACAAGGGGCACTGTCCAAAACGGCAACCGCATACCACCACAAGTGGCTATTTGAATTTAAACTTAATTTAAAAATTGAGTTCCTCAGTTGCACTAGCCATACCTCAGGTGTACAAAAGTCACACGTGACTAACAACTATCATACTGGACAGAGCAGATACAGGGCATTTCCTTCATTGCAGAAAGTTCTATTGTGCAGTACAAATGGTAAGTTTTCAGTAAGTCACAAACAGTATCACCATGCTATACTAACTTCCCTTACCACTTTTCTAGGAAAGAGAAATTCTGTCCTCTAGACTTTTAACTAACAACATAAATCATTCAGGCAAAAGTCCAAAACTAGAGTAATGGTGTAAAATATTTTAAGCACTCCCAACAGCTCACATTACCACCTGAGAAGCAGGGAGGAGCAGCCGCGGTCACCGCCCTGGCACTGCTTAACTGCAGCGCATGAGGGGCTCTCCAACTTGTCCAAGTGGGCTAAGATCTAAAAAGGTGTGAACTTCGTTCCACTCCAGCAACTCATTTTTCCTACCTTAACCTAGATCCTAAAAAAGTGGTGTAAAGATCTGGTAATGTCCTCAAACTATTTCAATAAACAAATAGCATCAAGAGTAGGCAAAGGCACAATTTTCTAATGACCTAGTTTTCCAAATTGTTAAAATAGGGTATAATTACAACAAAAATCCCACAAAAAACCCACTTCTGGTAAACACACATAACTCTTCTTTAAATTAAACTCCTACATAATATATGTTACATTAAATTCACCCCCTGCCCTTTCTCTAGACAAATTATAGACAAGAAAAATTCTGTAGACATTTTGACCAACTTAAAACAGTTCTTTGATCAGAAAACAGTTAAGTAATATATGAAAAAGGGGCGCAATATGCAACAAAACTGAATTTTACTATTTTTTTAAAGATTTTATTTATTTATTTGACAGAGACACAGCAAGCGAGGGAACACAAGCAGATGGGAGTGGGAGAGGGAGAAGAAGGCTCCCTGCCAAGCAAGGAGCCTGATGCGGGGCTCGATCCCAGGACCCTGGGATTATGACCTGAGCTGAAGGGCAGACACTTAACCGACTGAGCCACCCAGGCGCCCCCAAAACTGAATTTTAGATATCAACTAAACTAGAACAAGCCAGGCAAATCCACTACAGAAACTTTCTGGGTTTCCTCTGAAAAATAAAGGCAAAAACATATTCCATTACTTTGAAATTGAGGTTTCAAATATTTTAAAAATACAAACTAACTTCATTTCCTAAAGGAATTTACTACAAACAAGTATGGTACAACTAACAAAGTAGCAGCTCAAAAAGTGAATACTCCTGGAATGATTTAACAGTTACCAACCCAGCAACACTTGGTTCTGTAACCAGAACATACTTTAATGTAACCATTAAAGTATGCCCAACTTTTCTTTGGGGGGCTTAAAATCAAAAGAGCTAACGTACCATAAAAACTGAGGAAGCAGAAGGAATTTTTAGAAAGCAAATACTAACTATACTTTTGGTTAGCACAGTTTTCTTCGTTGCTAATGTATTAGGACAAGAACATTCTATCCCCTTCTCTTTAGTAATTTTCACATTTCTTCTGCATATACCGTATCACAATAAACCCTTTAGCACTTCAATTTTAGCAATGAACGTAAAGGTTCTGCCCCACTATCACAACCAGGAAAAAAAAAATGTGTAAAATGATTAATCAAAAAATGTTAGTCTATGGGGCGCCTGGGTGGCTCAGTTGGTTAAGCGACTGCCTTCGGCTCAGGTCATGATCCTGGAGTCCCGGGATCGAGTTCCGCATCGGGCTCCCTGCTCAGGAGGGAGTCTGCTTCTCCCTCTGACCCTCCCCCCTCCCATGTTCTCTCTCTCTATCTCATTCTCTCTCTCTCAAATAAATAAAATCTTTAAAAAAAAAATGTTAGTCTATGAATGGTTAAACTGTGGTACATCCCTACCACAAAATTCTACTCAACAATAAAAAGGAAGAAACTAGTATTGATACCCAACAACTCAGATGAATCTCAAGGAAATTATACTGCATTAAAACAAGACAATCCTAAAAAGTTATATGCTGTATGATTCTTTCCAGTAAACATTCATGAAATGACAAAATTATAGAAATAGAAAACAGAACAGTAGTGGCTGCCAGAGTTTGGGGGTAGAGGAGATGGAAAGCAGGTGGGCGGGTGTGGTTCTAAAAGGGCAACAGAAGGATCCTTATGCTGATGGAACCATTCTGCATACTGACTGTTGTGGGGGTTACGTAATTACAATTGCGATAACACCGCACAGAACTAAATACACACACAAATTAGTACAAGTAAACTGGAGAAATATGAATAAGACTGATAAAGTGTATCAATGTTATGATATTGAACTACAGTTTTGCAAGGTGTTAGCCCTGGGAAACTGGGTAAAGGGTACACGGGATCTCTGTATTATTCCTTAAAACTACATGGAAAATGGGGCGCCTGGGTGGCTCAGATGGTTAAGCGTCTGCCTTCGGCTCAGGTCATGATCCCAGGGTCCTGGGATCGAGTCCCGCATCGGGCTCCCTGCTCCTTGGGAGCCTGCTTCTCCCTCTGCTTCTCTCTCTCTCTCTCTCTTGATCCCAGGGTCCTGGGATCGAGTCCCGCATCGGGCTCCCTGCTCCTTGGGAGCCTGCTTCTCCCTCTGCTTCTCTCTCTCTCTCTCTCTCTCCCTCTCTCTCTCCGTCTCTCATGAATAAATAAATAAAATCTTTAAAAAAAAAAAAAACACTACATGGGAATCTACAGTTATCTCAAAATAAAAAGTTTGATTTTTTAAAAACTGCGACCCTAACAACTGGGATAATTTGAATACGAACTGGATATTCCACAGTATTAGGGAATGACTGTTAACAGTATTATAGCTATAGAGGACAATATCCTTCTTCTCAGGAAATGCTTGCTGGTGCATTTATGGATGAAATATTATGTCTGCAACTTACTCTTATGTGTATGGGAAGAGAGAGAAAGCAAATCTGGCAAAATGTTACATACTAAATTAAGGTAAAGGGTTTATGAGTGCTCCTTGTACTCTTCTATCAACTTTTCTACTTGAATTTTTTTCAAAAAAAAGTTAAGGAGTAAGATTTAAGACACATTTTTGTCCTAAAACTATGTTTCAGTTGAACTTTACACACCAGTTAGTCTTTTAAAAGATTTAAAAGTAGGAGTGCCTGGGTGGCTCAGTCAGTTGGGCACCTGCCTTCAGCTCAGGTCATGATCCTGGGGTCCTGGGATCCAGCCCCGCCCCCGGGTCCCTGCTCAGCGGGAACCTGCTTCTCCCTCTCCCTCTCCCTCTCCCTCCCCGATTGTGCGCGCGCTCGCGCTCTCTCTGTCAGATAAATAAAATCTTTTAAAATAAATAAGTAAAAGATTTAAAAGCAAATAAATCTTCTATTTAAAAAAAACACGTGATAGTCCCATCTATACTCGTTATTCTTAAAACAAAACAGCAATAAGGATTTCAAAGGAAAAGAGTTAGGTGGTATTGGATGTGACTTTCCGATAAGTTTTTCAACATAAATTGACTAAATCTGTAAGGCATATGGATATCTTTGTAAAATCAAAGTTAGTTCAACGTGGATTACTCTTTCCTATTTCTAGAAGACTGGATCCCCAAAATTGTTCTACTTTTCAAATAAGTGAAGCAAATTAAAATTGTAAGGGAAAACAGCTAACACTTTCATGCACACACTCCGAATTTTAAGTTTTAAGTTTGGCAAACAGTTAATTCTTTCATAAAGAAATGTTTGGATGAAGAGGCAACCCACACACTAAATGCCAAAACAAAAATGTGCCATGATGTATTAATTACAGCGCCAAGGCCACAAGATGTATTTTACAACGTAGACCGTCCCTCCAAACATCACTCTATTTTATAGTATTTAAAAAAAAAAAAGCAAACTGCACACGTTTGAAATGTAGGAAATAAGTGAGTTTGAGCTAGCGTCAGTAAGATCCATCTCAAAAGTTCTTAAGTTGTCTTTGCTGCTAAATTTTTGCATCAGAGTTCATACGCTTCAGTCTCTGAGAAAATCCGTGTCCAGAACGTCTCAACCAGAAACTCCATAAACTTTTCACTTCCAACCGGACCGCCCCCTCGCAGTGGGCCCCACCTCCCGAGTAGGGTATGGGGTGGGGCTGTTTCCCGCTCGGAAACTAAGAAATAAATGTCCCTTCCCTACTCCATCCAGAAACGAGGGAAAAAGGCCGAGAACCTGCAGACTCGAGTATGAAACTAACTACAAGGAGGTAGTCGTTTAGTAAGCTTCCTTTCCTCTTCCGAACCCCTTCCTTCCCTCCTTCCAGGTCATTCCGTGACCCCGGGCCGGGCGGGGACAGGTGAACATCAAGAGAGGAAGAGGGAGGGACGGACGATGGAGAGAGAGCCGCGCTTGGGCAATGAATGAGCTGTGCCGCATCCGCACCACCTGTTCCTTCCAAGGGTGCCACCCCGACCTGCCGGCAGTGTTCCCGCACCACCCCGGCCGCGACTCCTGCCCGTGTTGCCAGCTTCCCTGCTAAAAAGCCGGGCCTGTCCTCTCCACTCGGGGTGGATGAAAACCCGCAGTCTAGAAGCTAGGAAAACGGGGCCTACTCCGGAACCACGGCCTCCGAAGCGTGGAGACAGGAGGAGGAAGCCCGTGGCCCGGGGCGCGCGGGGTGATGTGGGAACCATAGGGAGGGGACGAGGGGGTGCATTCTGCTTGACTAGGAGTACGAAGGCGGGGTTCCTGGCGGAGGTGGCCCGGTGCCCGCCGGGCCGAGGTTAGGGGTGACAGGCCCGTGTACCGGCTAAATCCTCCCCACTGCTTGTCCAGAGTCTCACACTTACCAAGATCCGCTTGAAGAGAGCGTTCTCCTTGGGCGGGAGGCTCACGGCCGGCATCGTTCCGGCTCCTCCCGCTGCTCCCGCCACCGCCCGGCTCGGTCAGTCTGTTTGTCCGACCGCCGCCGCCGCCGCCGTCCCCTGGCTGCTTCAGCCTTGATTGCCCCGATCCACCGCCGCCACCACGCCTCGAGTGTCACCGCGTCGCCCAACCCCGACACCCCCTTTCCCTCGTTGTCTTTTTTCCTTTCTCACTTAACGCTGCCGCCGCCTCCCCCCTCACGGGTCTCCGTCGGCGGTTCACGTGGTAACTGAACAGACCGACAGAGGCAGCCAAAATGGCGGACGCGGAGAGCTTTCCCACCCGGGTCACACCTCCTAGCACGCAGGCGCGATGACCTCCTTTCCCCACCTCCTCTGTCCTAGAGCTTGCTGGGAAACCAGGAGGCCCGCGGGTGGGCGGAGGCCGCGAGGGTCGCGGCAGGCCCCGCCCATCCCTCGGTCGCGGAGCGTCTTGGAGGCCCGAGGGGAGAGCTAGGGGAGAGTCGCTAAGTGCGGTTCCGGCTGTCGCCAACTCAGAAATAGCCTTTCAGCTCTTTGCTGCCAAAGTGGCCTTTCATTCATTGGGTAGATTCTCCCAGCCTGTATGATCATACTTAGAGCCTGAAGTGCTAAAGTGCAGGTGTTCAAGAAATTCTGCGTTTGATCGTGAAGTGCCTAACTAAGCAGCAGAGGCGGAAGGGAAATGAAGGCTTCACCCCAGGCGGGACTTGTAAACCAATACGGAAAGGAGAGGCTTAATAGAGTCTGAAAACCGTGAAAGAGTTTGACCAGTTAAATGGGCTGGCTGGAGTATCGGTGATTTAGTTTATTACTTAAGGTGAGCGTGGAAAGAGCCAGATCCTAAGTGCCGTATTTGCAATGCCAAAGGAGCATCTGAAAGTTAAAATGTGTTTTATTTCATTGTTGAGTCCATGCAATGAAGGGTTCACGACTGTTTGAGTCATCTTGGAGTAGAGTTCAGGGACATTGACTCCCCTGGAGCTGGGTAAAAGCTGGTGCTTAATATTGTGAGTGTTGAACTCCCCATCACCAGAAATCCTCAAATCTTAAACACCGGAGTATCGGGCAAGGATACTAGAGAACTGCTGCAGTAGGCAATATCAAACTAGATCCCGAAGAGGACCTTTTCCACGTATGTGTATATGTATAAGTAATTTCATGAGCAATTGACAGTAAAGGGGCGCCTGGCTGGCTCAGTCAGTAGAGCATGTGACTCTTGATATCAGAGTGGTGAGTTTGAGCCCCAATTTAGGCATGGAGCCTACTTAAAAAAAAATTTTTTTTTAACTGACAGTAAAACTATTTTAAAGCTGGCATTCCATTGATGATCTCCAATTTTTCCCTCGTGGGAGCCATTTTTACGCTTGATTATTTTTGATGACTCTCTCCAGATGCTAAATTCCATCCGTAGCATTCTTTGCATCATGAATCATTGCATTATATGTGCATTAACTTTGCTCTTTTAAATGTATTTACCCAAATCTTTTACTGTTAAGCTTGCACTTCTTTAATCCTCCCTAGAAGGTGTAAGGTGAGTGAGATGTTTCCCATTGCAAAAATCTGGGACTAATGCTTGGGTTTTCCAGCTGCTATCTCAAATGTCCTCTTCTTTTGCCTGTATCATCAGTAAGGTTTTGTGAATCAGATCCTGCAATTCCTTCAAATTCTGTTATCTTTGTTCAAAAGTTTCATGGAAAAAAGTTGTATCTACAGGAAACCTGTATCTACAGATGTTTGAGTTTTGGAATAAGGCCAGTTTTTTAACCTTAACTTAAAAAAAAAAACTAAGAACAAACATAGAATTCATAAAAACAGCTGTCATTCAATGATAACGTTTGAACTTCACTGCCCCCAAGAGGTCTTTCTTTCAACCATCTCAGCTATTAAGAAGTAGAAAAGTTAATCTAACTTACAGTGATAATTTTAGCTTCACTACCAACTTTGGTTTCCAAATCTCTGGCTTCATATCCAGAAGTTCCTACAGCAGTATTATTTGCTAAGGTTTTCTAAATTTCTCCTTTGAATAATATAATATTTTCCTCTTGAGGGAAGAAAATTTCTGATGTTTGAAACAAACAGTAGTCCCCACCAAAGGCTGAGTCCCTGAATAGATGAGACAACAATATAGTTTGGCAAATGTTACCTTCTTTTTGGCTGGTAACAAATAAATTTTTAAGACTCAGTGAATACTAGTTTGCATTGACATTTATCTGAGTCATTTCCTAGTTAAAATGCACCAATAGATAACAGTTGGACCATACAGTCCATGACTTGATAGCCTGAACTCAATAATAAAATACCTGCTCTCATAGATCAACACTGTTTGACAGACAGATCCTATTTAACCTGTATGCTGTGAATGACAGCTATGCAGGAAATTAACATATCCAAGGCTGGATGATGACAGAAGATGAGGATGGTGGTTATTTCATTCATTGTACCCTAAGTATTTGCATATCACTATTGCCAAAGTGCCTCTTCACAAAAAAATTAACCATAAATAAATATATAAATAAATAACCTCCAAACTTTAATCTATAAAAGGGATATGTAAAGTGAAAATTCTCCATCTCCATATATGTAAGATGTTCTCTATTGACACTTTTATGCCTTAATCATTAAGTATTTAAATTTTATAGAAATACAACATAAGGGGCGCCTGGGTGGCTCAGTTGTTAAGCGTCTGCCTTCGGCTCAGGTCGTGATCCCAGGGTCCTGGGATCGAGCCCCACATCAGGCTCCCTGCTGCGCGGGAAGCCTGCTTCTCCCTCTCCCACTCGCCCTGCTTGTGTTCCTTTTTTAGCTGTGTCTCTCTGTGTCAAATAAACAAAATCTTAAAAAAAAAAAACAACATAAAACAAGTCTATATATTTGTCACCCAGATTTAACAAATGTTAACATTTTGTGATTGCTTCTGATTGTTTTTTAAATAAAAATTTGCATATACTTGAGGCGCCTGGGTGGCTCAGTCAGTCAAGCCTCTCCCTTCAGCTTGGGTCATGATCTCAGGGTCCTGGGATCAAGCCCAACATGAGCCCTGCATCGGCTCCCTGCTCAGCAGGGAGTCTGCTTCTCCCTCTCCCTCTACCCCTCCCCACTGCTCATTCTCTCTGTCTGTCTCCCTCAAATAAATAAATAAAATCGTTTTTAAAAATTTGCAGATATGGGGCGCCTGGATGGCTCAGTCGGTGAAGCATCTGCCTTCAGCTCAGGTCATAATCTGGGAGTCCTGGGATTGAGCCCTGCATTGGGCTCCCCACTCAGCGGGAAGCCTGCTTCTCCCTCTGCCTCTCCCCCTGCTCATCCTCTGTCTCTCCCTCTGAAATAAATAAAACCTTTTAAAAAATAAATTAAAAAAATTTAAAAATTTGCCAATATATCAGGAACTGCATCCCTCTTCAGATCCTGAATTTGACGTATGTTATTTTCATGCATCATAAATCAATAAACATATATGTAGTGATCTTATATTTTATACTGTTTTCAACTTTTGCTCTTCTTTAACCCTCCCTAGGAATGAGAAGTGTGAGTTGAGTAAGATGTTGCCTAGTGAAAAAGTCTGGGACTAGAACTGTGGTTTTCTAGGTGCTAACTCAAATCCTCTCTCCTTTTGCCTGGGTCATAAAGAAAGTTTTAGCATTCAAATTCTGGAAGTGGTTAAATGAATGTCATGTAGCAACTTCTACCAAAATATCATAGCTACCAGCTCCTCGCTGGAATTGCTTCAACAAGATGGAGTTTCACCTACAGCTGCCTACTCTAAGTGTAGGGTTCCATCAACTCTAACATGCTGAGAGGAATGTGCTTGTATTTCATCACTTTCCTAAAATATATACTAGTAAAAGGATACAGGGACCAAAAGTACAAACCAACCTTTTTCCAACAGCAGTACTGAAATTAGTAATTTACTTATGCTCTGACTAAATATGGCTTCTGTTTCAACTTGTTGGATACTAGCAAAAGCTGTGTCAGGACAAGCTTCCAAGGGATGATGTAGAAAGAATATTCAACTGTCAGGTTGCTGAGTGGACAAGAAGTTGAGAACCAACAACTGACTCAGCATATTAGTTGGGTGGTTTGCTTACTTGAGCATGAGTCTAGGAGGCTCAAACTAGGTTACAAATTATAATGTGACTCACAGTTTAGCAATCCAGGTAGCCGTCAGTTGCATGTAAAAATGAACCAGAAAGTATAGTACATTATTTTACTCTTGGGTCAATTTTTGGTCAATTTTTTTTCCCAGTAATATTGCTAAAAAAATATAAAAGTGGACACTTAGCTTAGTTAGTAGAGCATGCCACTCTTGACCATGGAGTGGTGAGTTCAAGACCCACATTGTGCATAGAGCCTAAAAAAATTTTCTTTTAAAAAAGAAAATATAGGGTTGCCTGGGTGGCTCAGTTGGTTAAGCGTCTGCCTCCGGCTCAGGTCATGATCCCGGGGTCCTGGGATCGAGTCCCACATCAGGCTCCCTGTTCAGCGGGGAGTCTGCTTCTCCCTCTCCCTACTGCTCCCCCTGCTCCTGCTCTCTCTCTCTCTGACAAATAAATAAATAAAATCTTTAAAAAAAAGAAAATATAGAGGGAGAAAAGATTTGCTAACATTGTGCTTTTAAAATGATCCTAAATGGCATTAAGTTTAAAGGATTAAATTATTAAAATTCATTATTTCTTTTACTTATATACATATGTTTACATGATCTTTAGACATCAGATTGAATTGAGAAGTGAATGCACAAAATTTGGCTCAATTATGAAAGATAAAACCTATTGTCAGTACAAAGGCTTTGGTAGACCGGCAAAAACAAGTTGTTTGCAACTACCAGACACTTTCTAAGCTTCCCAAGGACCATATAGAATAGGTTTTATGTTATAGCTATAAAACTGAGGTGTAGAGAGATTAAGTAATTTGCCTAAAAATCAAAAGCTAAAAAATGGTCTACAGGAATGGCGTTTTAAACTTGACTCTTTGAACCCTGTTCTACAGCTCATGGCCTCAGGGGACTGTCCAAGCCTGTTAGGTGGGCTAATGAGGATCACTAGATCTGGGGTCAGAAGACCTTAGTCTGAATCTCACCTTCCCCAGCTGTGGGATCCTGAGCCTGAGCTGGTCAGGGCACTTCCAAAACACAAAGATTCTCTTTTCCTCACAGCGTTGTGAAGCTTTACTATGATAGTCCGTGTGAACAGACTTTGGGAGTTGTGGGAAGTCTCTTCAAATATATGGTATGTCACCTTGGATGAGTAAGTTGTCCTTGAGCTTCATCTGTAAACTGAGGATAATAAGGTATACCAGGCAGTGGTTGTGAAGATGAAATGAGATGATGCATGTAAACCATATGATGGATGCATAATGTACAGTGTCTGGAACACAGAATTCAAAGTGCTAGTTGTTACTCAACACAGCACTCCTTTTTCAGTTTTCTGGCTCATGTAGCAAGATTTTAGTAAATCTCAGGGGCGCCTGCGTGGCTCAGTCATTAAGCGTCTGCCTGCGGCTCAGGTCATGATCCCAAGGTCCTGGGATCCAGCCCCGCACTGGGCTCCCTGCTCTGCGGGAAAGCCTGCTTCTCCTTCTCCCACTACCCCTGCTTGTGTTCCCTCTCTCGCCGTGTCTCTCTCTGTCAAATAAATAAAATCTTTAAAAAAAAAAAAGAGATTTTAGTAAATCTCTTGAGTATCCCTGGGGCAGGGATACTGAAATTCTCATGGGACAGCGAAATGGATAAACTACCCCTTACCCCCTTTTAATCATTTCCTCCCAAACCCCATTTTACAAAGGGATGCTGAGACCAGGAGAGCTAGAGTACCAGGCAATAACCACGATTCTCGAGTTAACAACCCTACTTAGTAGCGCGGCTGCGTAGCTAGCGTATCCCGCACTTCGTTCCGCCAGGGGGCGCTCGGGTGAGCCCCGACTCCAGGGGAGACGGGGTTGCGGAAAGGCGGAGCCCTGCCTGGCAAGATGGCGCTGCCCGCGTTGTTACGCCGGTTCTCCAAGCTGCTGGCTCCTGCCAGGCTTCCAAGCGGCTGTGAGTGTCCCTCTCCGCTCAGGCCCACCCGACCTTACTGTCTGCCACTCCCAGGGTGAACCCAGCCCGTGGGGGCCGGGGGCGTCTGGGCCCGGGCTCGTCCTGCAGTGACCTTCGCCGGCCTGCGTCCCAGATCCCAGCCCTGACTCTAGGCTCCCCATCACCGCCGCCGCCCCTCCTCTTAGTGCCGACAACTCTTGGTCTCTACGAATGGACTCTGGGTTCCCCCGCACCAACCCGCCGCAGGTTGGGTCCTGCAGACCCTCTCGGTGCCGCTTCCCGCCAACTCGAGGGTTATCTGAGGCTCGGCAAAAGCCGGTTTACGAGGCTTTGAGGGCGTCTTGGAGGACAGGGGCCACTCGGTCTGGCTGTGCCGGTGGCTCAGGGCGAGTTAACTTGACCTTTCTGAACCTCTGTTTCCGAGGCTGTTTAAGCGGGGGAGAGAGGGGTTGAAGAGAGAATTAAATGCAATAGTACACACATAAATGTTAGGTTTTTCAGTACAAGGCGATACGTTATCGATTTACACTGTCCCCTTTCAGCTTCAGCGCGATCAAAGTTCTACATTCGGGAGCCGCCACATGACAGACCTGACTGGCTGAAAGTTGGACTGACCTTGGGCACCTCCGCCTTCTTGTGGATCTATGTGAGTTTTTTACTACCTTGATGTCGTGCGACCCCAACACAGTGGGAAGGAGAAATGTCAGTGTGAGATCGTTGCTGAGCTTATCTCCCATCCAGTTGGATATTTATGTAATTGAAAAGTATAACGGAAATCCCAAAGACTAAAAAGAAGTATTAAAGATTTCAGCAGCATCGAGAAAATATGATGAGCTGAAACTTACCTCATTCATTGTTAATGAGCATGGTTTTGTGATGAATGGCAATCTTACTATTAATTGTCCTTTACTTGCTAATGAGGATGGAGGCTGGTTGGGTTTTATGAAGACACTTTTTTTTTTCAGATGCCATAGGGACAAATCATCAGTGGACAGGCTATACAAATTAAGTCCCACTAGACTTCCAAAACATAAGATTTTAATCAATGTTTGCATAAATACATTGTTGGAAATTGTACTTAGTATGTAGCAGCCTTTTTTTTTTTTGTCTTTGCAGTATGCCAAATGCTTTACATGTAAAAACTCATTTAATCTTTTCAACAACACTGTGTAGTAGGTACTGTTATTGTTGACTTCTTATAAAGAAAACACTTGGGGAAATTAGTTTGCTAAACCCACTTCTCCCTGACTTCAGAATTACACTATAGACCAATGTGAAATACTGCCTCTCTATAGATAAATTTTCGTGAAGTTGACTAAAAGTCTGTGTACTATATTAGTATTTAAAATTTTTTCTTTTGTCTCTGATAGGTTAGGAGCTTTCTCCACTGCCTCCCACCTCCAATTCTTAGATCTCTTATTTTGGATTTTCTCATTAAAATGGCTGTTGATGGGGCACCTGGGTGGCTTAGTCATTAAACATCTGCCTTTGGCTCTGCCTTTGGCTCGGGTCATGATCCCGGAGTCCTGGGATCTAGCTCTGCATTGGGCTCCCTGCGCAGCGGGGAGCCTGCTTCGCCCCCTTCCCCTGCCTGCCACTACCCCTGCTTGTGCTCTCTCTCTCTGTCAAAGAAATAAAATCTTAAAAAAAAAAAAAGTCTTGTTGATAAGGAGTAAGAGATGTTGAAAGTCATTTACAACATAACAACCGTAACTAATCCTTTTTAAAATAATATTTGTCATAATGAAGTTTTAATTTAAAGTTTTCCCAAAAAAAAGCTTGACTGCTGCTGAGAACTCTTACTGAAATTGGATCTTTGATTGCAGCAAATGTCACCCCATATCAACCATTGTTTTGGTTACATATTCTGTCAGACAGTGGTTCTAAGAAAGTGTCTATCTCCCATGACATCTAATTAATACACATATAGTTGGGGGATGGGATTGGTCACTCACAGTATCAAACTTCTAAGGTTAGAAGTATGCCACACCCAGCAACCAGCCTGGACCTCATTTAATACTCAGTTCTGGTTGGTTGTGTTGGTTTAGCTCCTCTATGGTAAGTTATTCTATTACATTAATTATCCACTGAATGAAATAATTTATTTGGCAGAAGTTGAATTTAAAATCGTAAGGGGGCGCCTGGGTGGCTCAGTCCTTAAGCGTCTGCCTTGGGCGCAGGTCATGATTTCAGGGTCCTGGGATCGAGCGCCACATCGGGCCCCCTGCTCAGTGGGGAGTCTGCTTCTCCCTCTGCCTGCCACTCCCCCTGCTTGTGGTGCTCTCTCTCTCTGACAAATGAATAAATAAAATCTTAAAAAAAAAACAAAACCCAACTTTCTTTAAAAAAAAAAAGGAAAAGAAGGAAACCTGGGTAGCGCAGTCAGTTAAGCATCTGCCTTCAGCTCAAGTCATGATCCTAGGGTCCTGGGATCGAGTGCCACATCGGGCCCCCTGCTCAGTGGGGAGTCTGCTTCTCCCTCTGCCTGCCGCTCCCCCTGCTTGTGCTCTCTCTCTCTCTGACAAATAAAATCTTTAAAAAAAAAAAAAAAGAAAAAGAAAAGCAAGCCAGGTCCCAGTGCCCCCATGCCCTCCCTCACCTCTAGAATAGTTGTAATTCTTTTACAACTTACAATTCTTATTCCTCTTGTATACCTCTTATATACCAAATATAAGTATCATTGGTTAGCCTCTTTAAGTTGCCAGGAAGATTACATTTCTAATTTTAATTGTTACCTACTTCTAGCTCATCAAACAACATAATGAAGATGTTTTAGAGTATAAAAGAAGAAATGGGTTGGAATAAACTATTGAAATACTAATATGGTAAGTATGCAGTTTTATAGGATTAATTAATTATGCAAGTTAATTTGACCTCTTTCTAAATAATGTATTTTGGTTGGTTTTTTTTATTGGGTTTATACTTTTTTTTAAGTTTACTTATTTTTTTTAGTAATCTCTACACCCAACGTCAGGCTTGAACTCACAACCCTGAGATCAAGTTGCATGCTCCTCCAGCTGAGCCAGCCAGGCGCCTCTATTGAGTTTGTACTTTTTAGCACTGATATTCCTGCCTGTGATAAATTTATGAATATTAATACCTTAACTGAAGCATCTCTCAGCATAATCATTTTTTAGCATCATTTGTAATCATTATACTTTGTGTTCAAAGAAAGTTGTGTTTAAGAATGAAACCAAAATTGGGACGCCTGGGTGGCTCAGTCAGTTAAGCGTCTACCTTCGGCTCAAGTCATGATCCTAGGGTCCTGGGATCGAGTCCCACATCGGGTTCCTTGCGCAGTGGGGAGCCTGCTTCTCCCTCTGCCTGTCATTCCCCCTGCTTGTGTGCATGCATGTGCGTGCACTCTCACCGTCTCTTTTTCTCTCTGACAAATAAATAAAATCTTTAAAAAAAAAAGAATGAAACCAAAATCATATTATTTTTGTAAATCTAATGGTACTCTACACAGTGACTTCATAACACTGAAGACAGGTTTGTGTATGTATTTCTTAGTATCTGTTATATACAACACCTGAGTGTAAATTCCATGAGAACAGAAACCCTATTTTACTAATCATACTGTACTCAGCAAAATGCCCAGTGCCTGGGCCTACCAGTAATTTAATATTTGTAGAATGGATGAATGTATAAGGGCAGTAGATTGGTAAATCTTTTACTGTATGACCATTTCACTATGATTGTCACTTCAACTAACCCCCAGTTGGACAATTCCTAGTAAAATCTAGCTGTGAACAAAATACTATATCTGCATGCTCTGTGATTTAAAAGAATGAGTTTATTTTATATGTCTATATATATATGTAAATACGTATATTTCTGAAAATCCTTTTAAAGAAATTCTATATTAATCCTTTTGTAAAATGAAAAATCACTCTTATAAATCTCAGCTTTCATGAATTAGGTTGATTAAAGTAGATAGCATATCTGCTTGGTAATAGTAATCACTAGCATATGATTGTTTTTAATATTTAACAACTCTCAAACTCAGCTCTTTAGGGTTTGATTATCTAAATTTTTCATTTCTTTTTTCATATTAATATCACCTTGCTGTCACTACTTTAGTCAGCTAATCAAGAGATAAACATTAAATAAGATATGCTTTTGCTACTCTCTTATAGGTCACATAAAATATTTTTTGCTAAAACTTAAATAAAATGAAAGGTTGATACTCTTTATGGATTTGTTTTCTAAACTTTCCCAGATGCCCAGAAATTATTCAGAATGGTCTAATTTTAATATTATTTCTGCTAGTTAATATTATAGTTTTTTTTTTTCTTCTTCATTATAGGTATGCTCCATATAGTGATTATACTAGTTCCTTTGGATTCACCAATCTGTTGAGTTGTAAACGTGAGAGAAAAAGTTATATGTGCATGTATGTCAAATCAGCATTTGTGTTTTGCATCATTAAATGAAAAAATAAAAATATTTCTGTATTCTTCAAATTATATATGTTGTGATTATGTAGTGAATGTCAGTTCTAAAGTATATTATTAGAAGTATTTTGATGTAGAAAGTACCATCTGATAACAGGGTCAATGGTAATTAAGGACACATTGGTAAGAAAACTTGTTAAGGAGATGAATTAAAAATCACCGCTGAAGGGTTTACTCCTTATGTCAACTTTTTTTTTCCTTGTATCAACTTTTAATTTCTATTCCAAATATTCTTGAGTGTGTCAGGGTGATAGAACTACTTTATTACTCAAAATACTAAAGAACCCGGGGCGCCTGGGTGGCTCAGTCTTTAAGCGTCTGCCTTCGGCTCAGGTCATGATCCCAGGCTCCTGGGATCAGAGCCCCGCATCGGGGCTCCCTGCTCAGCGGGAAGCCTGCTTCTCCCTCTCCCACTCTCCCTGCTTGTGTTCCCTCTCTCACTGTGTCTCTCTCTGTCAAATAAATAAATAAATAAAATCTTAAAAAAAAAAAATCCTAAAGAACCCAAATACTATTTTCTTCTAGAGAAGCCATTCTGGTAAGTCAGAAAGGAAAGGTGAATCCTTTTATTACTGGAGCTTGTTCTGACTCCCATTTCCTTGACTTTGAATGATTGCCATTTGGATGACTTTTCTACTCACCAGTTACGGCACCAGTTTGTTGTTCCTTTTTGTAATATGACTTAGCAAACTCCTAAGAAAAGGGGGAAGAGGAGAGAGGGTTCATAGACACAAAATAAAATACACTTCATTTATCCCTCATCAAAATCCTTTCTTGTGGGCGGTGGGGGGGGGGGAGGCTTTCTTGTGTATCAGTTAAAATTTATTTATGTGCCACTTCATTCACTTGTGATTTAAACAGTGTACCACACATTTGAAAATTCATTATTTAAGTCTGCATTCTGACATTAAGTGGAAAGATTACTTCGTTGTAATTGGTTTTGTGTGTGTCTGGGGCTGTGGCCAACACTTATTCTGGGAGATTCATGGCCTAATATCTTTGGAAGTCACTTCTGAACATAAATTCAGAATTAACATTATTTCAGATTAATTATTTAATGCAAATTCAGTTAAAAGCCAGATATAATACTATGAACTTTTGTTAATTTGGAGCTCTAGCTGGTAGAGCTGGAAAGGACCTTAGGGGTTATACAGACCAATCTCATTAATTATACAAATGCAAAAACTGGAGGTGAACTTTTTCGCAACGGGTTTGCCACCAGAACACAGGTGTCGTGAAAACCACCGCTCAACCTAAACCAAAATGGGAAAGGAAAAGACTCACATCGACATCGTTGTCATTGGACACGTAGATTCGGGCAAGTCTACCACTACTGTTCATCTGATCTACAAATGTGGTGGGATCAACAAAAGAACTGTCGAAAAATTTGAGAAGGAGGCTGCTGAGATGGAAAAGGGCTCCTTCAAGTATGCCTGGGTCTTGGATAAACTGAAAGCTGAACGTGAACGTGGTATCAGCGTTGATATCTCCCTGTGGAAATTCGAGACCGGCAAGTATTACGTGACCATCACTGATGCCCCAGGACACAGAGACTTTATCAAAAACATGATCACAGGCACATCTCAGGCTGACTGTGCCGTCCTGACTGTTGCTGCTGGTGTTGGTGAGTTTGAAGCCGGTATCTCCAAGAACGGGCAGACCCGTGAGCATGCCCTTCCCGGCTTACACACTGGGTGTAAAACAACTAACTGTTGGTGTTAACAAGATGGATTCCACTGAGCCACCGTACAGCCAGAAGAGATACGAGGAAGTCGTTAAGGAAGTCAGCACCTACATTACGAAAATTGGCTACAACCCCAACACAGTAGCATTTGTGCCAATTTCTGGTTAGAACGGTGACAACATGCTGGAGCCAAGTGCTAACCTGCCTTGGTTCAAGGGATGGAAAGTCACCCGTAAAGATGGGGATGCCAGTGGAACCACACTGCTTGAAGCTCTGGATTGCATCCTGCCACCAACTCGTCCAGCTGACAAGCCCTTGCGTCTGCCTCTCCAGGACGTCTACAAAATTGGTGGTATTGGTACTGTCCCTGTGGGC